CCTTTTGTTTACAAGGTAGTACATTCTTTCTTTTCTTTTTTTCCTTCATAAATTTCAAATTCATTCTTTCTCTACCAATTTTTTTATTTTAATTTTAAATTGAAAATACCCCTCTGTCCCTGAAGTGACAGTAGGTTCTTACTCTTGACATAGTAGCATTATGGAAAACATTGAAAGCCCAAGTTCCACATCTTGGAAGTGAGTAGTAACAATTATCTATCCTGGTGTCTGCACATGGAGATGCACGTTTAAGAGCAAGGCGACATAGTTGCGATTACCAAAACCGAGACATGGAATGAAAAATATAAGGCAAATGTGTTAATCTTTATCCACCGCCATTTACATGAGAGCTTGTAGACTCAGTATTTCTCTACGTGGGACCCTCAAGTCCTTTGAATGAGTTTGAAAGATCGATATCATCATAGAAAGGTAGTTGTCCTTCCTAAGGTATAGTATGATTGGCAACATATTAAGTTGAATTCTGCCTTATATGACATTGTCTCTCAAGTTTAGTTATGTGGTTTCAAGCTAATTGAAGCGGAATTGTTAGAGAAAACATTATCCACCTTCCATGCCTCTAACATAGTATTGCAATAATAATACCGATAATGTCAATTTACTATATAAAATTGAGTTGAAAAATGAAAAATATAAAATTGTAGAATAAAAAGACAGATGTTCTGTCGTGGAGACAAAGATGTTCAGTCGATAGCTAGTATGTTGATAATTGTGTTTATGGGAGAGATACCTTATACCTTATGGGAGAGATACCTTATAGCCAAAGGGTGGGGTGTTTACCAGCCACTAGCTGGACATCTTTATCTCCATAAAAGAACATTGGCGTCGTCTATGGAAAATCGATAAACTTCGATTCCCACCCCATAGTGGTGAACGCACAATAGTCGCCACAACCAAATAGTTCGAAGCTAATAAATCCCCCTGTGTTGGAAAATCACCGATCTCCAACTCACAATCTGCGCCGCATCTGCAAGGGATGTGGCAAAAAGGAAAAAGTACGTGGATCCACTTCAGATAACAAATCATGGATAAAGTCTCCAAGGGATGTGGCAAAAAGGCACATAGAGTTACAATAAATTAGCATGCAAATGAGTTGATTTCTTGAATTTCATGTAATATGTGCTTGGTGATTGATGGTGCTTTTGTTCTTGACATTAGTGTTGAATCAATGAATTTAATCTTGGAAGATCAAGTTCCAAGTTAATCAAGTATTGGAAGCCTTAGTTCTTGTTCATTCAGGAATAAAGTAAGTTCATGGAACCATGATTTGTTTAGTACTTTGACCATTGGGTCAACATATAATGCATGATTTAATTAATATTTCCAACATCCTACATGAAATAAGTGATTTTTGGAGTACAAATTAAGTAAGAAGTGGTGTGGACAACCTTCTTGGTCTACAAGTAAGCATTGATTTGGACGCTACACGAGGTAAGCTCTTGGTTTAGGAATATTCTCCTACTTTGTTCTCTCACCACAGGTTCATTGGGACTATGGTTTCATGTATGTATGATTGATGAATGTTAGATACTTAATATAGTTGCATTTATGCAGGACATGTTGATGTTATGATGTGATGTGTGGAATTATGGTTCATGTCTAGTGAAAGCATACATGTGTGTACTTTCCTTGAGGGATACAGCCCCTGGAAGTACAATCCTTAGGGACCAAGCCTTTGAATTATCATGTATGACTTTCGTATTAATATATATATATATATATATATATATATATATATATATATAGTGAAGTTTGTGATTTCCTCTATATTATGTTATGTGACCTTTCATGCAGGAAGTGAACTTATGGGTGGATAATCACTCCATAAACCCTGAGTTTATTGAGATTTATATCTCACTGCATTTGGGACATGTTTTAGGTACTCCAGCAGCAGCAAGGGAGCCCTCATAGAGCAAGAGGCTCGTATAAGGTGGTTAGAAGATTCCCTTGAGCAGATATTTAGTTTAGCATTTTGGGATGACTGTATTGACGTTTTTATAACATGATATGTATATGATCATGCATATTTACAATTTATATCCATTTTGAGAGGCATGTGGTGCCTTGATACATTTGTGTGCTAACAACATGAGTATGTATATGCATGTACGATATCAGTAATGGCACGGAGCAACATTTCAAATATGTATATAGGATTGGACTTTTCTGTTTTTTAGGTGTTATAAATAAGGGTGGTATTTTATCTCTGGATTAATCCAATTTATAGTTGTTATTCTGTCCCATAGACTCTATCCGAAATGGTACAAGTTATCAATATTCGGATAGTCATTGACTGTTGACTATGGCCACAGGAATTCAAGTAAGGATTCTGTACATGTATTAGACTATACAGTTCATGGAAGTAAGACAAACACTATATGCATGGCAATAAGTAAGGAAAAATAAAAAGGAAAAAGTTACTTCACGAAATTACCTTGTGTAATAGTGAAACTTTCATTAAGTATCCCGCTACTTTAGTCAAGCAAGAAGCGCTTTATATACCATTTTGCATGATTAACAAATCTTGATCAAGATGAGGCGTTACACCCGCCTACCTAAGTTACTGGACCAGTTACTCGAGTAAGCCATGTACTTAAGTAACTGATCAAGTTACTCGAGTAACTTGTGGTCAACTTAGTCAAATAGTGGCAGATTAGTGTATAGTTTTGGAAAAAAGAAAAAGTGGTAATTGTTTTGAAAAATAAGGGCAAAAGGGTCAATTAACCCACATAGAAATGTTATTTTTTTTTTCTTATTTTACTTTTCATCTTCTTCCCCTAACCGATCCTGATGGGATATTGCCTTCCAATTTATTTGAGTAATTTATATTTCAACAATTTATATTGTTGCAATTTATACTTTAGTAATTTATATTTCTGCAATTTACATTTTTGCACTTTATAATTATATATGTAAATACATATATTTATATATTTATTGATTTATAATTTAGGAATTTATATTTTGGTAATTTACTTTTCTACAATTTATGTTATTACATATTATAATTATATATTTATGTACAGGGGCAGGATATTGTAACAACCAATTAGTGTTACTACCGATCAATTTCACCGTTAGATCGATTATATTGATAATATAAGACCTGATTGCATAAGACCTGATTAAATTTTAATACTATCCAGCGTTTGGTATGGTATTGCATAAGATAATATCCTCCAATATTTTAAAAATTAATATATTAAAAAAATTATTTTAATATATTAATATTGAAATGATATATTAGTTATTGAGAATTGTACTTGTAAGCAATATTAATACATTAACCCCTTATCAGGTCTAATCTCACCTCCTTAGGCTTAATTAACTTATACATCATTTTGATGTATTAAGGGGTTCCTTATACTATACGATGGTCACACCAAACAACTGAAAATGTCATCATAACGTATAATATAAGTTTATACTATCAAGCCTTACACATCACACCAAACAGGCCCTTGGTGTGACAATCATATAGTATAAGCTTATACAGCAGAATCCTTTAAAACATTAAAATGATGTATAACTTAATCAGGCCTAAGGGGAGGGATTAGGCTTGATAAGGGGTTGATGTATTAATATTGCTTACAAGTACAATTCTCAAGAACTAATGTATCATTTCAATATTAATTTATTAAAATAATTTTTTTTAATATATTAATTTTTAAAATATTTGAGGATATTATCTTATACACTACCATACCAAACGATGGATAGTATTAAAATTTAATCAGGTCTTATACAATTAGGTTTTATACTATCTGGTCTTAGGGCATGTTTGATGCATAGTATAAAATAAGATCTGATAGTATAAGACCTGATAGTATAAGGCCTGATTGTATAAGACCTGATTGAATTTAGTAATATCCAGCGTTTGACACGGTATTGTATAAAATAATATATTGTATAAGATAATATCATCTAGTATTTGGTAATGTACTGTATAATACTATATATGATAAAAATAAATATTTTTAATAAATATATTTTAATAAAGAATTTATATAATTCTTCAAAAAATGTCATGTGATATTAATTTTTATAAAAATTTATTGATCGGTGTGTCCAAAATATAAATTAATTTTTATAAAAATAAAAATATTCAATATTTTAAAAATTAATATATTGAAAAATTAATTTTTATTTTAATAGATTAATATTAAAATAATATATTAATTTTTGAGATTACATTGGTCAAGGATATTAATACATCAATCTCTTATCAGGTCTTATCCCTCACCCTTAGGCCGGATTAAGCTATACATCGTTTTGATGTATTAAGAGATTATGCTGTATAAGCTTATACTATACGATGGTCACACCAAACAACTGAAAATGTTATAACGTATAATACGAGCTTATACTATCATGCCTTATACGTCACACCAAACAGACCCTTATACTATCAGATCTTATCCAATACTATACACTGCCATTAGTACTTAATTTGATTACTTGAGGTATGTTAATGAACAACATATCAACCACAAGGTGTGACTTAATTATTGAGTTGAGTTTTAGGAGGACAAATTTCTCCAACAATGTAGATGAGTAAGAGCCTTTGTTCTATATCATGAGAAATTATCACATATTCCCTAGAGAGGCATGTAGGATTGTGATCCTTCCTTTCATATTTTTACATTTCAGCTGAATGATGTGCACTATTCACATATTTATTACGGTTGGCAATATGTGATTTAATCCGTTGATACAATCTAATTATGACACAAATTTTTTCATATATTTTTTTTTTTTGGAGGTTACAAGGAATTGAATACAACACCCTACACTACACACACTCCTAACACACACACCCCACACCGTTAGGCTAACCCTAGTGGTAATTTTTTCATATTTGGGTCTAGGCATGTAGGATTGATTGATTTGCATTTATAAATGGGTTGAAATTATCAACTCATTTTATAACATGATGGGTTGATGGGTTAATTCATTTAAATAATAAAAAAAAAAACTAAATTTCAATCAAGAATTCCTTTTGAAGAATCACAAATTTCTGCATCAAATAATTCAATCTAAACCAGTATAGTACAAAGAAAATAAAGCTAATTAACACAAAGAAATAAAAGTACTTGAATATAAACTATACACTTACCACAACGAAACAATTTGTTTAAGCAGGAATAATTGAGCTGGTTGAATGGAGAAAAATAGATTAAGGAATTTGAGATTTAGGTGTGACAAATAAAACGTAACTCACGGGTTAGCCCGCCCCCTCTCGCCCAATCCAACCTGCTATGTTTGGAGGAGTAAACGGACAAACCCAGGTTGGACTAGTTTTGTGGGCTCTAATGATGTTGGTCTTGAAAAAATTTGCTCGGGGACGAGTAAAGGCAGCAACAACGGGTTTCAACTTCTCCTTACACTTAGTGATAGCCAAGAATAGAACTCGATACAGAACAATCATTGCAAACATGATGGCAAGATCAACCCACTTAGAGTGACCCATTTCCACGTGCAATGTCTCGGTCAATATTTCTTTACCAGTGGTGATTTTGGTGCCTCCTCCATGTTGTTCTTTAGAAAATGTTAAACCTTCGAATTCATTCTTGAATGACCCTTGCAAGGCATACTTGATGAAAGACATATAATATAAAGGGTATTTCCATAATGGTTTTGGAAGATCATTTGGCAGTCGATAGAATCCACCTAATAAAATCATGAGTCCTACAATTCCACCACCAATGAACACGCCTATTATATAATTGGGGGAGATACTCCCAACAACTAACATAAGGCTCTCAACCCACATCACAATGGCAAATAGCAAACAAATGAAGTACAAAACGTTTTCTAGTCCTTTGTGCAGCCCACAAAGGTAGTAAGCTATTCCTCCAGGAATCAGAGAGATCATTAGCATGTAAGGAACAGCAGAGAGTATGTTGCCTATAAGAAAAGCTGTAATACCATAGTGCCCATTCAATCTCTCTCGTTCAAATACCTAACGCAATGAAAGGAAACATTTTTCATCAGAAATGGAGATCATATGTTATAACTCTCCCAAATGTTAAAGTTTTAGGTGAAGACACACATTAAATTAAATAGTATGGATATATAACACGCTCCTTAAACAAGACTTCTTTAAACTTTAGTGTTTGGTCATGCTCATGACAACTCTCCCACTAACTTAAAAGCTTTTAAATGAAAATAAATGATTTTTTTTTTATATAATTTATATAAAGGAAAAAAAATTTCCACTTTTGGTGTAGAAAAAATTTATTCTTCACACTCACTTAAAATGGGTCTCACTTACTTTTGTAAGTATGGTAGAGAAATATTTTCTGCGGTAAAAACAGAAACATTAAATCCTCTTATATATATCAATTTATTACTGACCAGATTACCTCTCCCTCGTGCAATGCAGCTAGGAAGCTTGAATTTATCTTAAAATATAGCACAAAAAGACAGAATTTTTACCTTCATTTCCTCCAAAAGTGGACATAATCCACCAACAAGGATCAAGAAACTGAGAAGTGAAATAAAAAAAGTGAGCAGCGAACCTCTCCCCTGAAGCATGCATGAGGATATTGTATTACTCATCAACTTTGTTTATTATAGCTAATCTTTATGATTATCAGTCTTACCTGCATAGGTTCATCACTTGAGCCAATGTCATAGAAGATAGAGCCAATACTTATCGCTATTACAGTAAAGCCAACTAAACGTAACCAGTAATTGCTAATGTCGCGAAACAATTGAAGGGAAGATCTTCTTATAAGAACAAGGCATTGAGTGAGGAATGCAGCGTGGATCCTCTTCTTCCCAATTGCACCAGAATCCTATAAACATTCAAAAGTTAGTCTTTCACACACATCACAAGTCTTTGAATTTGGGAAATTCATCTTTGTGATGTTTAAAAGGAATGTAACACGAAACTTACACTTTCGCTTATTTTTGCCGCTTCCATTTTAACTTTGTTTCTAATTTTAGACGATCTATATGACTTTACAAGGATACCAATTGCTTCTTCTGTGGTTGCTCCCTTACCAAGGCCTTCTTCAGCATCCTGGAAACAATAAGATGAATCAAATAAGTTTAAAGTTTTTGGCTGCATTCTGTTAATTAAAAAAAAAAAAAAAAGGCTCGCAAATAAACACTAGCCAACCTGAGAGAGTTTGCATACCTGTTCAAAATCTTTGTTTATGATCCTCAAGTAATGATCAGAAGGATTGTAGAGAGTTGGGCAAGGAAAACCATTTGAAGCAAAAAACTGCACTTGAGTCAAAGTGTCAATATGTATTTTGTCATCTTCAAATCAATACTTGCTTCATTATAAGGATTTTAGTTTCTAACCTGATTTGCATCAGAAGCCGGGCCAAAATATACAGTTTCACCACAAGACAAAAGACAGAGGTCATGGAAAAGTTCAAAAACTTCACTACTAGGCTGATGGATGGATGTAACAATAGTCCTTAGAATGCCATCCCTTAGATTTAGACTTGCAATTCTTTTCATAACATAATATGAAGCTGCACTATCAAGCCCACTATTTGGTTCATCAAGGAAGAGAAGTCTCGGGCGTGTTAGGATCTCAATGCAAATGCTAAGTCTCCTCTTCTGTCCTCCACTGAGTCCTTTAGAACCCCACCCTCCAACCCTTGTGTTAATGGCATCTTGCAGACCCATTTCTCTGATTGTCATTTCTGCACGTTCCTTCTTCTCTGCCATGGACATGGAATCTGGAAATTGGAGCTGAGCTGAGTAGTACAAAGTTTCCCCAGCCGTTAAATTTGACAGCATAGCATCATCTTGTGCTACATAGCCCTGATTTCACATGGTGATGGGCGAGAGGTTTATAAATTTCCTATCTAAAGCAATTATTTTTGCCTACCAAAGAATTGTTACATTTTTTCAGGAATTATAGTATAATAATCCTAATGTGGAAAATTCAAAATTAGAGAGTTATTATGAGGACCTAAGGGTCATTAATAAGATGAGGAAGAAATTATATGAATTTGGATATCTATATTGATGGTATTCTAAACAGGTGGATTTCTGCCTGTTATTTTTTACTGCTGATACAGTAGCAGACAGTAGAATAGCCCTAATCAGATGAATCTGAGTTAGAGAGTTATTCTAATGATACTAGTATTATAGATGAGTTTAGAATTCAATTCAGTAAAGATTGACACCCACATTGTGGGTATTCTGAAAAAGTGAGTCTTGACCTGCTATTTTGTCCTGCTGAGGCAGTAACAGGTACCTGATTAATCCTAATCAGTGAATCTGAGATAGAAATATTCTAAGGATATAATTATCATAAACGATAAGAGGATTTGATTCTGTGAATCCTGATACACATATTGGGGTATTTTGATAAAGTCACTGTTACCGGGTATTTTGTACTGCTGTGACAGCAGCCGGTACAGTTCTGAAATGAGAAGAAGATGAGAAAAGGTAATATAAGTCCAATATATGTCAAACAAGTCATAATTAGACCAATGATGTAAAGTTAAGAAAATTATGAATTCTGGGTACAGTTAAGGATACTCGTAAGGACTACAGTGTAGTTAAGCAGCAGTAAGCGTATCTAAGAGATACTAATTAGATATTTGAGTTATAAACAAGTTAATTAAACAAACTTAATATTAATTACTTAAGGTTAGGATCTAGGGGGTTTCCGGGTAAAAATTTGATAACAGTTCAAAAAAAATTACACCGAGTGTCACTAAATGATAGAAAGTCACTTAAGTGACATGGCAAAACCCTAAAAACACATGAATCCCTCTTCCTTGCATCCCATCAGCCGCCCTCCTCCTTCTCTCTAGGTTTAGAGTTGTTCAAAATTACTCCTCCTTCTCTCTAGAATTCCACCACTTAAACTTTATCAAAATCCAAAACACTCTTCACAAATCTTGTTCCTTAGCTCTTGAACTTGTGAAAGCTTGTGTTCTTGACCGTTGAACCTTAAATTTCGTGGCTGTAACCTTACCATACAAAAGCTGTATATTCATTCCTTTTATGGCAAAAAATAGTGGTTGAAGAACGCTCCTTCTTTGGTCATTCTTTGAGTTTCTAGTGTAAGTTCCTTACATTTTCTTTTTGAAAAACCCTACCTTTACTCTTTTAAAGTTAAGTTCTTGATTTTAAATCATTGAATATCTTATGAAGGTGTGTTCTTGGTGAAAAATAAGCATTCTTGGTGGGTAAAAGTCTGAGCTTGAACTAAAGGAGCCATCTTGAAGAAGTAAGACTTGGATCAATAGAAAAGATGACTCCAAAACCCTTCTTTCCTCCACTTTAATTTCGGCCATGATGTGTTCTTGTTGATAATGATGTTGTAAATTATTAAAAATGGAGTCTTGGTGTTTAAATGTATTGGTGGATGTCTTGAGATCAAGAAAGATGAAGACTTGTGAAAAAAAGTGTCACCTTTGGTGGATGTGTGAGTTGTTCTTGATGTGGATGAACTGAACCCTAAAAACCACATGTTATAATTCTGCCCTCTTCATTAATATTAGTGTTTGGTGGTTAAAAATTATAAAGGTGATACCTTTGTGGACTAATGGCTAGAGGAACTTAATTAAACTAAGAAAGTGTGTCAAAAGACAAGTAAAAACCCTAATTTCGCCACCTATGCATTTCTTCCATGTATGTACTCCTTAGGGTTTGATGTTTTAAAATAGTTCTAAGACTTAATTAGGACACTAATGAAGGAACTAAGTGAGGTGGTTTAAGCATAATTGATTAATAAACTATTAAACCCTAAAATTTGACCTAATTAGGATTTAGAACCAATAATCGTGTAATTAGTGAAGTTAATGAACTAGTGCATAGTTGATGATTTAGAATTACATAAGGGATACAATAAAGTGAAAAATCCTAGATTTATGTTCGCTTAGGGATTCAAACTAAACCTAAATAGGGTTTTCTAATTAAACCTAATTAAGGGGTCAATTGCTAACTTAAGCCTAAGGTGAGTTTAAATCCACTTAGTTATATAATTAAATGAAAGAAAATCATAAGGAATACCCTATGTACATTTCGGCAATGTTAATTAAATTAGGGTTTTGGGTTGCAAAATGGTGAAGAATGATGAATTAGGGTTTGATTGTATAATTAAGAATTAATCCAAATTGTGAATTGAAGTGTGAGTTGAATTTCCATGATGATTAGCCTTGTATATGCCATGGCCAAGTAAGCTAATGTGACCTTGATTTGGTTGATCCTTGAGTTAATGGCTTAGAGTTTAATTAATTAAGTTAAAAAAGGCTTAAAAGTGAATGATCTTTGAAAATTGGATTGTGATTCTTTGAATTGGCTTAAGTTGTGGACTTAAGTCTTAGGAGCCTAAAGTGAATTAATGTTCAAGGTTATAAATGGCATATAGTGATGATAAATGTCTTGATTAGTTGTAAGTTAAGTGAAAAGTGCCTTAACCAAGAGAGTTTCTTGATGGACTAAGTGTCTAATGAGTTATTGTGGACTTAGGTAACAACTGAAGACCTTGTTTCCTTTGTGTATGCCATGGCCATGAAGGATGTATATGGCTAGGATGAGTTAAAAATAATCCAAGTTATCTTAGTGGCCATAAGATGATTGGAGTGCTTAAATCACCTAGTTGATTGTGTTGAAAGATAACACTTCTATATGAGTCAAAACATATAATTATGTAATTAATGGTCTAGACTTGTGTTGGGCATATTATTGGCATATGAGTATGTAAAAAGGAAATGGAATCAATAAATGGCTAAGTCTTGTATATTTACTTGACTGATTAATATGTCATTAATGTATATGTATGATTCCTTCTCTAAGTGTGCCTAGAGATACTTGCTTGTGAGGACATTGAGTTGGAGCATACGTACTTGCCTTGGCAAGTAGGCTTGAGTATAGCTCTCTGAGGTAAGCTCTTTGTTTAGGATGTTCCTCTTCTCTTGTGACTCCACCATGATGGTGGGCATTGTATGAGAGTATGAGATATGTTGTATATTTACATTCATTCACATTCATAGAGAGATTATATGATTCATTATGTTATGATGCACTGATGATGTATGTTATGAGGTTCCTAGCCAGTGAGTGGGTATGTAGGCTCTTGGGTCATTCCCTTGAGTTATTTCATACTCTACATATATTTGTGTGTAGACTGCCTATGACTGGACTCTGGGAGTTATTGCACACTAGGCATGTTAGACATGTCAGGATGTTGGCTATTCGAGGTTCGAGTCCTGGAATTACTAACTAGGATCAGATATGATGCTATGTTTATGCTATATGATTATATATATGCTTTATATATGACTTGTAATGCCGGAAGTGGGTTCAAGGGAATAGAGAATTCTCTATAAACCTTGCGCTTACTGAGATTGTTGTTATCTCACCCCTTCTTGGGGACATCATTTCAGGTACCTATCATAGTTGTGAGCCCTCCATGGCCAAGGACCAGGCTCGTGGCTAGTTGTGTGCCAGTTAGATATTTATTTCATAGCATGTTTAGTATTTTTAACATGCTGTAGTTATGTGATTTTGAGATCATGGTAATTATGTAATAATGCTCATGACTTGTATTTGATGAGCTGATGGGAGAATTACGTATTTGATATGTATTTACTTAGATGCATGTGTTGATGATATGAATATAATGTAATTGATATTTTGAGTTGGGCATAGAGCCTTTATGTATATATTGACCTCTGAGGGAATCACAGTCCGTGCGGGACTTGTGAGATGACTGATTATATAAACTGTGTCTATCAGGATTATGTTATTGAGTGAGATTCTTATCTCCCAAATATCCGTTAAACAATCGTTATGCTGTCTGTGAGACTCTAACAGGAATGACAGTTGTTGTTATATCCGGTTAGTCAATGACCACTATTAATGGCTAATGAAATTAGTTAGTAGATGTATGTTTTAGATTTACGCTTATGCAATATCTTTTGGAAAGGTTTTTAAAAAATGTTTTGGAAAAAGTTAACTCATTTTGATAATACGATTTCATATTTAATAAAATCAAGTCTTCCGCTGTGTATGTTATAATATCATGTATATTAATAACCAGAGTACTACGGGGTGTTACATCTAGCTTTTGGGAATTTTCACTTACTGATGTTCCATAAGCCAGTGCTTGTTTGTGGCCATTGATTAGAATATTCCCTGTATGCCTTATGTTTGAGCTCAATCTTCCTGAGACATTGTTCAAATCGAATGATAGTAATTATATTTATATAACTAGATACAAATCATATCATAAAAAAGAAATTTACCTCTCGTAGTTGTACTATACTATTTTAGCATCAAGAAGAGTAATACATTACTGACTAAAAAAAAAAAAAAAAATTGCTTCTAAAACTTTTCTTTACGTCCAACTTATAAACCACTAATTGCTAGTGTAATTTCATATCACCAAACATCAGTAAAATTTCTTATTTAACTAGTAACTTGAAAAAAAAATAAAAATTATAAGGTACCGAAAACCTCACACGCTTGTCTAAAATACTTCAACTTCCCTTTTAAAAGCATTTAATGGTTTTGTCACGCAGCATAACAATAAGTTGGTCACATACTATGAGGTCAAAATAAGCACATGCAAATTGCATTACCACAATCCAAATATATAAATTGGAGTAGAATCTGTTACTAATCACCTGCTAAAGCATCAAGAAAAGTGGATTTTCCACAGCCTGAAGGACCCATTATAGCCAGAAGCCTTCCTGGCTGGGCATAACCTGTAAGACCCTGCAGAATTGGTTTCCTTTTCTTTCCATTTGAAACAGTGACCCACAAATCATCCCATGTTACAGTTATGCCCTCCTTCTCTCCCTGAATACTTCCACTATTTTCTGTCAACTCGATGGCATCACCTTTAAATGTGGTATAAACTTTTGGATTATCTTGCAAAGCCTTAGGTTTAACACATGGATAGAGAAGCGTAGTCATGCTTAATTTTGAGTTGTGTGTGAATAATATATGTGTGCAGTATATGTACGTATGATCACGGAACTGAAAAAGAGAGAAGAGTTGATGACAAGAGTTAAAGTTGTCGTTTGTAACACTTACAGCCGTCCATTTTTATAGCTAACGGTTATGCCTCGGGTAACAGATAAATCAGAGAAGAAAGGTGTGTGTAAAGAATAAATGTCTTTAAGAGAATAAAAGTGTGCGGATACCATTATCACTTGCTTGGAGATAATGGAGTTTGTTTTGGTGAAACTGTCGAAGTAACGTATATAAAAACCTGTTCTGCTCATGATAATCTCCTAGTTTTTTCTTTGGGTAATATATAACAGCTTTTTATTTTGTTTTATTCTATGATACTGTACGACAAGAACTAGCGGCGATTTAAACAACGATTCCTTCTTTAAGTGAAGAGTTGCTCTCATCATTTTGGATTTGTCCCTTTCCTTTAGTTCATAGGCACAGCAAGAGCAAACAGCTTGAGCTATGAATGGTACAAAATACATTCATAGGATGCACAACAGGAAAAGATATACCAGACACGTCCCAGACACTCTAACAAAGTGCAACATAGATTCCAACTCAAACAAGTTTGACGACTGAGAGAAAAAGGATACTGTTAGCCGTACAGATTTGTTCTTTACAAAAAGAAAAGGCCGTTAGCTATAAAAATGGACCGATGCAAAATGTAAATGTTTCAAATGACAACCTGTTCAACTAGCTAGTTCTTTGAAAGGGACTTGCTACACAGTATTATGCTTTTTGCTGGGTATCAATTCCCTTGTTTAGTTATCAAACGTTTAATTATTGTTATGCCTCGGCAAATTATACTTTCAATATTGATTATTGATCTTATTTATATTTAATGGTTTGATTTATTCAATATATGAATGATTAGATGTTAATAAATTTAATGTACGACTTTTGCGGTTGGTTATGCTTTAAGGCACATGTTAGTGATGGCGGCTGGGCGATGGAAATTGATGTTTTATTCTGATATGGATAATTTTATTAATAAAGTTCTTATTTATCTTGGATGAAATGAAAATAAAATTTTAAACTGTTAACTGTAAAAGGAATATACAGAGTTTGATGTTTCACATAGTTTGTTGCCCGATTACTATAATAATCCTATTTTGTAAAATGTGAAATTACATTGGATTAAGTGTTGAATTATACATATTGGAGATCAATTAGGTGGAATGCTCAATTAAATAAATGTTGAGTGATGCTTAAGATGGAAACACTCATTTAAAATGTTTAAGTATAGGTATGAGAGGAAATGGGAAAACTATTAAAAAGCACTCATTTAGCGTTGGAATGGCTCACTAGTGTACTTCGCTGAAGCTAAAAGGCCAACGAGTAGATGCGAAAAATGTTAAAATCCCACTTAAGTGACTTTTCCTCAATTGTAAAACACCCATCTCTCTCACAAACCGAAGGAACACCATTGGAGAGTCTATAAGAACCCTAAATCTCAAGATGTGTTAAATATAGGTTTAAGTGAGATGGTGTGTGAATTTTGTGACTGCTAAAAGGATTCTAACAGTTAAATCATGCAAATGATATGATAATGAATGTGAGGATACAATTCATGTCTAACAAGTCAATTAGGACCTAATAATAAGAACATAAGTTATGTTTAGAGACATAAATACCAAATTTATGATAACGAGGGTATTTTGGTAATTTTACAAACTAGGTCTGAACTGAGTTCTGACCGTCTAGTAAAATTTTTTGGTGAATTCTAAGTACTTATAAGGTATGTCTAATTTAATTAGATGATGTGTGGAATAATTTAAAAGAATTAAGTCAAAAATTAAGTAAATTAAAAGTCAAACTAGGTTAAAGTAAGCTTAAACTTTACAACTAAGCTTAATTCTTGGTCAAAGATGATTCTATTGCTTTGTTTGCTATATCATATGTATAATTACTTTATTCTACGATTGATTGGTCAAAGTTTCAAGTTATAAAAAATAAAGTAACAACAATAGAACTTAAGTAACATAAACTTTTAAAAAGTCAATTTTTGTGTGCTATGTTGCCTTTATGAGTGCAACTTACTTTTCTCTTGTTTATTCTTTACATTCCACGCCATTTTATGTACGTAATCATCCCCAAGAAAGTGTGTTGAAAGATTAAAGCGATAACCAATGAAAATTAAATTCCTTTATGCTTTGAAAAAGTAAAAAATGGTGGCTTTTGTTAATATTTTCATATGTTGGACAAGTGGCTTCACTACTCAAGAGGGGGATTGAGTTTTATAAAATCTTTTCGCAAAGTGCCTCCTTTGATATTTTGAAAGTATTTCTTCAAATAAAAAATGATTTAACAAGGAAAAATTTAAGTGTAGGAGCAAGTGTGTGATCAATAAAATAAGAGAGCGAATAAATAAACACAATCTAAAAATGAAATTTCAAGACTAAAGTAAGGAGTTCAAGGTTAGAGAAATTGCAAATTAGATGTATCCTGATTCGATCACCACCACCGTGATCTACGTCCAGACTAAAGCCGCTCGATCAATCTTTTTCACTAGCTATCAAGCTTGAGGGTTCTTGACAAAACACTACAATCTTTCAAGACTTCAGACTCTTGACGCCTTACAATTTTTCACTTCAAATTTTTTTAGGAATTTGGTGATCTCTCAAGTATAAAGGGTTCACTCACCTAACTATTGAAGAAATCAAATAGAGATGTTTAACAATAGCTAAGTACTCTTACAGTCCAAGTTATACAAGTTGAAGAACTATGGGTGTTGACACTCTCACAAGAATAAAGCTCAAAGAGTGTTTATGATCAAGATGAATGAAAATAACCAAATAATATGATTTAAATCAAGAATAATGATCAAGAATTTTTTTCAAATCAATGGAACAATGATTCTTATATATAGAGGCCCCCATATGAGTGTAAATAACTATTTCCGTAACCTAGTCGTTTTATAGCCATTATTTTTATCTTATGCATTAGTGGGTAATCGATTACCATAGATTGGGTAATTGATTGCCTCAAAGGGGAATCGATCACCATGTTCAAGGTAATCGATTACCAACCTATCAAAGGTTGGAATTTGTCCTGAAAATGGTTTTCTTTGCTTTCAATTAATTTCAATTGCTTTCAATCATTTGATAAATACTGAAGATAGATTTTTCATGAAAGTTATATGCTTAGAGATATCAAATGATGAGTTTATGCATGTGTTTCAAAAATTATCTTTGAGCTTATTCATGTCAGATGTTCATTTCCCTCACATTTGATTCTATGTCCTAAACTACATTACTTGTGTGTTCTTTAGACTTAGACTCTCCTCTTGAAGCTTGAGTCTTTATCTTCTTTAAGATTTGTCATTGTCTTGATGGAATTCACGTTGGTTCGTTGGTCGTATAGACTTCTTTTTTATTGTTGTGAGTTGTATCACTCTTGAGGTTTCTTTCAAGGTTGTTGTTTGTTATCATCAAAACTCTTGTATTATAGAAATCTTTATTTTGAATGTATTGATTCCACAGTTCACTTGGTGAGCTTCTTCCACGAAATTTCCTTCTTGTGTGCCTTACATGTGCAACAAATTAAAGTTAACACAAAAATATGATGACCAATGAAGAGTTAAAGTTGTTCACTTCTCTTCTCCTCTTTATTTTCATGCCATCTTCTTCTCCTCTTCTCCTTCTTGGCCGTGAGCTTCCATAGTGAGAAGAGCTTGAGAGAACTTTGCTTTCTAGCCATTATTTTAAGAAACTTTCAACATAAAAAAAATAGCTAGTGAGCTTGTGATAAAACCCCTAAAACCATACCTCTTAAGGCTTTGTTTTGAGTGAGTTATCATCTTCTAAAGTCCTTGATATAGCTGCTGTCCTAGAGGTCTTGGATGTGTTTTTGCTTGATTTATATGTTGGAGAAGCCTTAGATCATCTAAAGGAAGCTTTCTAAAGTATTATATGTCATTTTAATCAGTTGGAAAATGATTTATGAAACTAGGCTTTCCTTGTATTTTCATGAAAATTCATGTATGTTATATGATGATGTTTGAAGTTGTTTGATGTTTGATGTTGGTTTATTGTTGGTTTTAAGTTAAATTAATGGAAAACAGCCAAGGAAACAAAGTGTGAATGACATAACTTCTATGCATGCAATCCATGTATGCGGAGCCCTTTAGCTTTGTAGTATGCGAAGTGAGAGTGCCAAGATGTTAAAGTGTTTTTCGACCGATGGATGTGGTATGGTAATGATAAGATATTGTTTGGCCAGCCCTTGGCCAAATAATGCTTTCCTCTGTATTTGCAGTAATCTTGTGTTCGGTTCTCAAGTGACTATATTTATTTCCAAGTCAAGAACAAGCTGCAAGTATACACGGTCACGAGTAGTAAGGAGATTGAGTAGGGGATATCTTTCCCTCGGGGATAATTTGAAAGTGTGTAATCTCTAAATTTTTAAATTACAAAAGCTGTATTTTTTATTTCTTGAATGGTTGATTTAATTGTTCTTAATTTTTCCTAATAGCGGCAATGAAAAATGGTATGTAACTGGTATTATAAACTTGCACTAAATACTGGTAAGACTAGAAATTTATGACACAACGTAAGAGATGATTAATTGTATAAGTATACCAGACGTGATTTCCCTCTTTCAACAATTTTATTACATAAGCCAATTAAACATGTCATGGCACCTTACCTAACCAACCGAACCTGCTACAGCATATTCGTGCTTCCCAGCACAATATTTAGCTGAACTCAATATTCCATATTCCTATCATTATCATTATATATACTAAGGGAATAAACAACATTGGAAAGTTTGATGATGTGTCACTCCCTCCTTCAATTTCACCAATGTGTTCACACTTGAGAAATGTTTGAAAAGTTTCTTCTTTTGGTAATTTTTTTAATCAAAAATTAATATTAAATAAATAATAATAAAATAAATCAAAATTCAAAATT